ACTCACCTCAGCCTCCCAAAGGCACGGGATTACAGGCTGAGCCACCGAGCCCAGCGGTTTAGGCATTTTTTTAATGATGCTTCCTCACTGGGCTACAGTTTGCCTCCTTAAAAAACAGAAATTAGCCAGGCGCGGTGGTTCACGCCTATAATCCCAGCATTTTGGGAGGCGAAGGGTAGAGGATTGCCTGAGCTCAGGGGTTCGAGACCAGCCTGGGCAACACAGCGAAACCTCATGTCTACAGCAAATAAAGAAATTAGCTGGGCATGGTGGTGCGTGCCTGTGGTTCCAGTTACTTGGGAGTCCGAGGCGAAAGTATCACCTGAACCCAACAGGTCGAGGTTGCGGTCGCTGTGAGCATGCCACTGCACTTCAGCCTGGGCAACAGAGTGAGACTCTGACTCAAAAAAAAGAAAAAGGAAATTTTGGTCACCAGGCAAGGGGGTTGGGCTAAGGAAATAATCCTTAAGTTCCCGGTGTCCTGGAAACCTGTCATTAACTTTTCATCCCAGGTCCAGCAACTCCAGACTTCTATGCCCTGGTGGCCCAGCGACTGGAACAGCTGGTCCAAGAGCAACTGAGATCTCCACCTAGCCCAGGTGAGGGGCAGGGAACCCTGGAGAAAGATGGGGTTTGGAGGATAGTCAGGGTTCTGACCACAGCCAGACTTTTTCTGTCTCCAGAGTTACAGGGTCCCCCACCCACGGAGAAGGAAGCCCTGCTGCGGAGGCTGGTGGCCCTGCTGGAGGAGGAAGCAGAAGTTATCAACCAGAAGGTGATGGGCATCTGTTCCACCGTTTAGCGAGAACGGGAGGTTCTGGATGGTGGGGCACTGGTATCAGAACTGGATCTGTACTTTTTTTGGATGGTCAGGTGGAGAGGGTAGGATACAATATCAGTGAAGTGTTGAGTGATGGGTATAGTCAGTGGCTTTCATTGATGTTAGAGGGATGTGGCCTAAACGTGACCTAGTAGAGATCAGGGGCCAAGTTGAGCAAGTAAGGGAATGAATGTGGGGGTGGGAGGAGTGTCTAAAATCTGCTTGGCTGCAGTAGAGGACCTAGATCTAGAACTGAAAGCAGGAGAAATAGACTGCCAGAGGAGGCGTGGCTTGTGACTGTGTCTTGGAATTTGATTGGCTCAGGAGCTTGGGCAAAGTACATAATCCTATAATATTAATGGTATGGTAGATTGTTTTAGTCCCTAGCTTGATCCCCCGGACTCTGACTTGGAAGCCCACGGGGTCATGGCTAGAAGATTAGCTTTCTAGAACTTAAAGTATGGCTTGGCTCGGCTGTTGAGGCCTCAGCAAGGGCGTGGCTTAGCCGACCCGGTTCTAGGCCTTCATCCTGGGAGTAGTTTGGCGGAGACCACATAGTCTGGCTTGTGATTGGCTGACATAATGGATGAGGCGGGGCTCAGGAGTGTTCCCATCTAGAACTGGCGGAGCTGGGAAGCCCCGCCCCCGCCCCCTATTGGCTGGCCACGAGGGCGTGGCTGATGCCAGCCCTGCCTCTTCTCCACTCCGCAGCTGGCCTCGGACCCCGCCCTGCGCAGCAAGCTGGCCCGCCTCTCCGCCGGGTCTTTCGCCCGCCTGGTGGAGCTGTTCTCCAGCCGGGAGAGCAGCCCTCACCCAAGCCGGGCCTGCCCTGGGCCCCCGCCGCCTTCGCCGGAGCCCCTGGCCCGCCTGGCCCTGGCCATGGAGCTGAGCCGGCGCGTGGCCAGGCTGGGGGGCGCCCTGGCCGGACTCAGCGTGGAGCACGTGCACAGCTTCACGCCTTGGATCCAGGCTCACGGGGGCTGGGTGAGCCGCAAAGCCTCTCGGCGGAAATGTGATGGAGGGGGGCGGGGGCACCTCATGGGTTTCTCTGTAGACCTCGGGTGTTCTCCCGGCCTTACTGTCCCTTCCTTCTGTGGTGGGCACCTGCTGTGTACCAGGCTCCGCCTGATGGGTGCCGCCACCATGTCTGGCTTAAACCACTGCTGACGGCTGTGAGCCTGGAAAGAGACTGCCTCTTCCTGGGCCTCAGTTTCCTCCTGTGCAAAGTAGGGAGAGTGGGCTGGGCACGGCGGCTCCTGCCTGTCATCCCAGCACTTTGGGAGGCCGGGGCGAGAGTTGAGCCTGAGTCCAGGGGTTCGAGACCATCTTGGGTAACTTATGGAGACCTCGTCTCTACAATAAATCAAAAAATTAGCCGGGCGTGGTGGCGCGGGCTTGCAGTCCCAGCTACTTGGAAGGCTGAGGCGGAAGGACCGCCTGAGCCCAGCAGGCTGAGACCGGGATGGCTGTGAGCGCGCCACTGCACTCCAGCCTGGGCGACAGAGCGAGACTCCGACTCAAAAAAAAAGAAAGGGAATGTGGTAGTACTACCTGGAAGGGTTGTGATGAGGATTAAAATGGGGCAGTCCTGGTAAGTACTTGCGCGCTGCCGGGCACACGTGGTCACTTGTTTGTGGGATCATATGGTTATCGCTGCCTTTCCCGGGCACCTCCTGCCCGCTTCCTCTGCGCCTTCTGGTCTGCTCTGGTGTCATCCCCTGCGGGGACTTTCTGGTTCCCATTTATGGTGGCAGCCACCCCCACACCCTCCCACCCACTGATCTTCCCCCACTCTGCACCTTCTGACATGGTAGAATGAACTTCTTTTGCTTACTTTCTTACTTTTTCTTTTCTTTTTTTTTTTTTTGAGTTGGAGTCTCACTCTGTGGCCCAGACTGGAGTGCAGTGGCCACTCCCGGCCACCACAACCTCGACCTGCTGGGCTCCAGCGATCCTTCTGCTCAGCCTTCCAAGTAGCTGGAACTATAGGTGCGTGCAACCACGCCCGGCTGATTTTTTGATTTATTGTAGAGATGAGGTCTCGCTGCCCAGGCGGGTCTCGAACCCGCGGCCTCAAGCAGTCCACTCACCTCAGCCTCCCAAAGGTGCAGGATTACAGGCTGAGCCACCGAGCCCGGCTACTTTTTCTGTTTGTTCACTTTCTCTGCCCCTGGTATGATTAACGTCAGAAGACAGGAGTCTTCCTTACCTTTGCTTTTGCTCACGAATTTACCTCCCACGCTGGTTTCAGAGTTGGATTGGGCTCCAGCATGCTGGCCGGCTACGGACTTGGCAGCTGTCCCCAAACCCCTGAGGACCAGTCTCCCCCAGCTCCAACGGGCACGGCGCCACTCTCCTGCCCCGAGGGTCACTGGGGGGATTAGGAGAGAGAAGGACCGGGCCGGGCTTTCCTGATGTGAGGAGGCATCCCTAGGAGAGGGAGGAGGGGGCCAGTGGGGCTGGAGCAGGGCGACCGGGCGAGAGACGAGAGCGGGAGAGGCGGCCAGGTCATGCGGGGCCGAGTGGTCATGGTGAGAACTTGGACTTTGACTCCTAGCTGGGTCTCCAATGGGCAGAGGGACAGGAGCTGACTTCGGTGTTAACTGGCGCCCTCTGGCGGCCGCGTGCGGGCAGACTAGGGAGGAGGACGGAAGGGGGAGCATGACAAGGCGCGAGAGTGGATCAGACCCAGGTGGGGGCAGTGGAGGATTCCGGATTTTTTTTTTTCTTCTTTTCTTTGTGAGCCACAGTCTCAGTCTCACCCAGGCTGGAGTGCAATGGCATGCTCACGGCCACTGCAGCCTTGACATGCTGGGCTCAGGCAGTCCTGCCTCAGCCTTCCAAGTAGCTGGAACCACAGGTGCACACCACCACACCTGGCTACTTTTTTCGATGTATTGATTTATTGATATAGGTCTCGCCATGTCGCTCAGGCTGGTCTGGAACCCCTGAGTTCAGACAATCCTCTCATCTCAGCCTCCCAAAGTACTGAGATGCCAGGCATGAGCCAGCATGCCAGGTGGATGCTGGACCTAATTTAGCAGTGGAGCTGAGGCACTTTGCTGATGGGTGGGATGTGGGGATGGCATAGAGGATGCTGGCCTGAGCTGTTGCAGGGAATATCTTGAGTTCCCTGGTGTGGAGATGACCTGGGGGACCAAGGCAGCAAGTTTGGGGAAGACTCAGATGATTAGTGGTGGTCCAGGTGACAGTGAGATACCCCAAAGGCCTCAGCAGATAGTGAGGGGGCTAGATGTAAGTGTGGTGCTCAGCAAAGAAGCTCGTTTATTTGTTTTTCAAAAATATAGGCTGGGCGCGGTGGCTCACGCCTATAATCCCAGCACTTTGGGAGGCTGAGGCGAGCGGATTGCCTGAGCCCACGGATTTAAGACCAGCCTGGACAACTTGGCAAGACCTCATCTCTACAATAAATCAAAAAATTAGGCCGGCAGGGTGACACGTGCCTGCTACTTGGAAGGCTGAGGGGGAAGGGTCACCTGAGCCTAGCAAGTCGAGGTTGTGGTGGCCTTGAGAGTGCCACTGCACTCCAGCCTGGGTGACTGAGTGAGACTTCAACTCAAAAAAAAATGTATAGGCCGTGGTAACAGGTAAGCTTGGGTGAGTATTCTTGGTGGGCCGGGACCCCAGCCAAGATTTCAAGGGAATGATCCTATTTACGCCCCACAACAATGTCATGGGGTTCTGTTATTCTTTTCTTCTGAAGTCTGAGAGGGAAAGTCAGTCCTGCAGTGTTGGAATCAGGATTTGGGCACAAAGTCATGGCTTTTAACCTTTAAAATCTAGGACTCAGGCCGGACTCAGTGGCTCAACCTGTAATCCCAGCACTCTGGAAGCCTGAGGCGAGTGGAGTGTCTGAGCCCGTGGGTTCGTGACCAGCCTGGGCAAATTGGTGAGACCTCATCTCCACAATAAAAATAAAAACTAGCCAGGCATGGTAGCACGCGTCTATAGTTCCGGCTACTTGGAAGACTGAGGCAGAAGGATCGCTGGAGCCCAGCAGGTCGACGCTGGGGTGGCTGTGAGCGTTCGTGCCACTGCGCTCCAGCCAGAGCAAAGGCATGAGACTCCAACTCAAAAAAAAAAATCTAGGATGCTTCTCCTCCTTGGAGTGTCTGTCATTACTCTCTGAGTCATTGTCCCCCAACACTCCCAAATCTCTGTCGGTCTCTGTCCACCCCCTTCCAGTGCTCTGACCCACCCTCATCTTCCCCCATATCTAGGACTCTGTCCTCCATCCCTGTCCCCTTCAATTCTAACTGTGTCTCCGTCCCCGTCTCTGATGTCACTGGGCAGATGTGAATGCTGCTGTGTGTGGGATGCCTTCCCTGATCACAGGACCCCGCTGCTTTCACCCCCAGGAGGGCATCCTGGCCGTTTCACCCGTGGACTTGAACTTGCCCTTGGACTGAGATCTTCCTCAGAAGCTGCTACAAGATTGGACCTCATGTCTCTACCCTCTGCGTGTGGTTTTCCAAGCTTTCCAAGTCCTCTCAGGGCTGTGGGGTGGGGGTTGCCCTACCTGCTTTTGCCAAAAAGAAATCGTTTAAAACTTTTCATATTAAAAACTTTTTAAAATATTTAATTGTTTGTTCTTCCACTCAGGAACTAAAGTTCTGAGGAGAGCTGTGGTTCCAAGATCTCTGTAGTTTTTGCGTTGACTAGAGAGCCAGTTCTTTCATTCTACAAATACTCATTTGGAGGAAGAGTTGGTTACCTGGGCTCATGACACACTCGGGGACATCTGTCATTATGATTTCAGCTCAGCTACATTTTTTTCTCCTATTGCACACTTTGGTTATTCCAGCTAATTCTGCATTTATGGTCATGGAGTCTTTTTAAAATTTTTATTGCTGGGTATGGTGGCTTACGCCTATAATCTCAGCACTTTGGGAAGCAAAAGTGAGAGGATTACCCAAGCCCATGTGTTCTAGAAAAACCTGGACAACTTGGCGAGACCTCATTTCTACAATAAATAAAAATAGCTGGGCAGGGTGGCACGTGCCTGTAGTTCCAGCTACTTGGAAGGCTGAGGCAGAAGGATTTCCTGAGCCCAGTAGGTCAAGGCTGCGGTGGCCATGAGCATGCCTCTGCACTCCAGCCTGGGTGACAGAGACTCCTACTCAAGAAAAAGAAAGAAATCTGGGCATGGTGGCTCATGCCTGTTAATCCCAGCACTTTGGGAGGCCAAGGCAGGAAGATTGTTTGAGCCCAGGAATTCGAGACCAGCCTGGGTAACACAGTGAGACCCTGTCTCTACAAAAATTTAAAAAATTAGCCAGGCATGGTGGCACTCACCTGTAGTCCCAGCTACTCAGGAGGCCGATAACCAGAGCCCAGGAGGTCCAGGCTGTGGTGAGCTGTGATCATGCCATTGTACTGCAGCATGGGTGACATATTGAGACCCTGACTCAAGAAAGTAATGTTTTTAGATTGGATAATACAGCTTATTTAGAAAGTAAATCAGAGAGAGGAGATTCACCTCCCCAAGGTAGGGGAGGGGGCCAAAGCTTAGGAAACATGACTTGGCCATAGCTCCAGCAACACATGGCCTGGCCAAAGCTTAACAAAACAATGGCCGATAAAAAAAGTTTAAAAATGATGCTATGCTACACTTTCTGAAATCAAAGCACACCTCAGCCTCTTACTAAGTGTAAAACTTGGATCAAGTCACTTTACCTTTCTGTGCCTCAGTTTCCTCCTACACAAAATGGGTGTGACAACAGTACTTATCTCAGTGGGTTGCAGGGGTGGGGTGGGATTGGGATAATTTAAACTCTTCTAAGCATGGTTGGCACAAGCTGTCAGCATGAACTACACTGGCCATAGCTCCACGAACTTGTCTTGGAGGTCAGGAAGAGTTGGCACTCCAGAGAAGACGGCAAGGGCCTGTGTAACAGCACGGAGGTGTGAGCGTGCAGTGGTCCCAGGCAATGGGAGAGGATCAGTAAGGCAGCTGTAGAAAAGGGGTGTTTTGCGGCCAGAGAGGCGATTGGGACACTAGGTAGCCACGGGAGGGTTGTGCGCTGGGGAGTGGCCAGGTCAGCTCTGGGTAGGCAAGGGTGGTGGGGAAGACTGGAGGAGGCTTAGAGGTGGGCGGGAGCCTGGGATGATGGTCCGGAGAGTACAGGCCGAGTCGGGAGCAGGAGGGGCAGGGCTGGGGACTGACGGGCCGTGGGGAGGTGGGACCTGATGGTCTGGCCTGGTGACTGGGTGGGAGGTGGGGCCGTGCCAGACCCACAGCCAGGGGTGTTGTGGGGGGTATGATGGTCCTGGGGGGCAGAGTGGAGGGTGGGCAGAGGGCTAGTAAAGAAGTCAGGCTGGAAACCCTTTATTGTTTTTTGAGTCGGTGTCTCCACAAAAAAATCAAAAAGTTAGCCGGGCGTGGGGGCGCGCGCCTGTAGGCCCAGCTATTCAGGAGGCGCGGCGGGGAGATCGTCTGAGCCCAGGAGGTCGAGGCTGCGGTGAGCCGTGATTGTGCCACTGCGCTCCAGCCTGGGAAACAGAGTGAGACCCCTGACTCAAAAATAAAAAACCTGGAACAGGTACGTAGAGGGCGGATTCCTAAGCCCAAGTAAACGGGCTCCAGCTCCCTTGTTCTCCAAACTCCCCTTGGACTGGGAGAATCCACCGAATGGACGAGGAGTGACAGTTAATGTGAGCCAATCACTGGTGCCTGCAGCCCCGCCTTCCTCCCGACTCGTGGGCCAATTGCTGTGTTCTCCTTGAGGCCAGCCGCTTGGAGAGGGCTGGCCAAAGGCGTAGTGACGTCACGCTTAGGGTGCACCAATAGCAGGGACGAAGAGGCGGGTGGTTTTGGTGATGGACGGCTCTGTTTCAAGACGTCCGCTTAGCGCGGTGCCCGCCGGGTAGCTTTGGGGCGGTGCAGAGAGGAATGGGGCGGGTACTCCTGGGTGATTTTGCCCAATCATCAGTCGTGTTTCTTGCAATAGACGGGCAGTTTTCCCCATCCCTGTCGACTTGACTGGGCGGGACTCTGTGCGCCAGGCTGGGCAAACCCCTGACCTTTGATGGGCATCTGCATCAGCCAATTGCTCAACGTCATTCTCAGACGGGCCGCCTCCAGTGCCAATGAGATCTTCTGGCGGGGTCGCGATAGGCGGGTCGTGGACCCTCTGGTATAAGGCGGTCCCGGGGGGGGGTGAGGAGAAAGGGGGGGGTCTCGGCGGCCGG